ACACACACACACAATCTGCGTTTTATAATAAGTAAGATATATATATATATATATATATATATATATACACATACATACATACAAAACAGACACACCTATTATATATATATATATATATATATATACACACACACAGAGACACCTATATATATATATATATATATATATATATATATATATACATATATATACACACACAGAGACATATATATATATATATATATATATATATATATATATATATATATATATATATATCAATTTTAAATATTAAATATACATATACAAATGCAAAAATATAAATATATATAGGGCATACACATACATGTATATTTTTTTTTAAAAAAATAATTCCAAGAGGATAGAATCCAGGTAGAAAAGGACAGAGTAAGGATATAAAAAAATGGCATTAAACACTAAAAAATGGTATAATTTATTCCATTGGAATCGTAAATGATCAATTCATCAGACCTACAAATTCAAAAGAAAACAGAAAAAAAAAAACAACTGCGGAAATAAAATTAAAATTTAGAGAGAGTGTAAGTATGAGAAATTGGGACGAATGTTAGAGCAATAGAGAGGGGTAACAGACGAGAGAAGGTGGGGATAAAAAATTTAACAGAGAGGGGATTTTCAAAGACGGTTTAAGTGAGAGAAATATGAATGTTGTCCCCACCTTTCTCTCGTCTCAAACCTCTCTTTAAATTGATTGTCAGGGACTCTTATAAAACTTAATGATTTAAATTTTATTTTTTATTTCGAAGTTGTTTTTTCTGTTTTTTTTGAATTTGTTAATTCTGATGAATTGGCTGTATTTACGATTCCAATGGAATAAATTATGACCATGGATGAATTTTTAAAACCTTTTATTATATATATATATATATATATATATATATATATATATATATATATATATATATATATATATATATATATATATATATATATATATATATATATGTTTATACAGTATTAAGTACATTGAATATTCGAGAAATCTCGTAGAAAATAGCATCATCTGACATATATGTTTGGGATACAGGTTCGATTCCTGTCGGAGGACGCATATTTTCTACGATGCTTTAATAACAGCCTTAATTCTTCGTGACATGTTATAGAATAAATTCTTTAGTAAGTCAACGTCCTTCGCCAGATTTTTCCAGCACTTCTTTAATTCGCGAAAAAGTTCATCTTCTGTGTTAATTTCCCTATTACTGGTACGCTTGTCCATTATCGCCCAAAGAGGTTTTCAATTGGATTAAGATCAGGACTGTGACTAGGCCACTGGAAGAGTTGCAATTTACCCTCGTCACGCTTCCTCTCTAGATAACATTTATTCTTTAAGGTAGAATGCTTAGGATCGTTATCGTGTTGGAGCATGAAGCGTTGATCTTGGGCAAAAAGCTTTTTAGCGGAAAGCTACATTTGATTAACAAGAATGTTGTAGCATTGATACTGGTCTTTGATGGCCTTGATTTTGTACAAATTACCAACTCCTACTGTTGAGAATGGACTTCAAACGTTGATTTTTTTATTGTGTTTAACAATGCCCTTGATAGACACTAGAGTATTCGTTTCAAATGTTTCAAATACGTACTCGTCCCTTATATCTAAGAGTAATTTTTCTCGTAACTCCACATAACATCTTCCCAATCAGATTTCGTCCCTGTAAATTAACAACTCCTGCTTCGGTGAGAATCAAACCCCAAATGTGCCATTGATATTCGTTTCACCTGGCGTACACCAATACGTACTTTGTCCCTTATATCTAAAAAGTCAGAACTCCATAACATCTTCCCAATCAGATTCCGTTTCGTTAAATTATCCTCCTGCTTTTGAGAATGCACCCCAAACAGTGCCATGGAAAATTCGTTTCCCCGGGCGTACACCAAATACGTACTCGTCCCTTATATCTAAGAGTAATGATGCTCTCGTCACTCCACATAACATTTTCCCAATCAGATTTCGTCCCGTGTAAATGAGCTTTGCACCAAACTAACCGTGCTTCGTCGATTTTTTTTTCCAGTTACGAAAGGTTTCTTTAATTTTCTCTGTATTTGGAAACTATGCCTTTGGCTTTATGCCTGCGTCTGACTATGTTCTTGAAGAAACCACCAAGAAAATCGTGTTATGCGCGAGCTATCTGTCACCTGGCAGCAAATATTTTTAGACACAGTCCGCTACTGAAAAAATAAAATTTGAAACTATCAAACACAACTAGTAGAAATGTAAGTTGTGGAAAACAAACACTGATATAAAACATGGTCTTTTATTTCCTTTATGACACATACTATTAATATTTTTTGGAAAGACGACGCCCACCGACATGGATTTTCAAAGATTAAAATGTTTCCTGTAAATTGGCAGCAATATAATTATCAATTTTCCATGTGTATTTTTTGAAAATTTTATTTATTTATTATTAAATAGTTAGTTGTGGGTGGGCGCTCTAAGTCTCCAAGGAACCAATATTTTTAGTCCGAGTTTGCTAGTGTTTACTATATCTGTACTTTATCAATCAATAAATGTATATCCTTTGGTCAAAATATTCCAGAAGAAAAAAAAGAACAGTACAAATACACTACATTAATCAACATATAAAATCTTTTTAATTTTGTTTATTTAACTTTATTTTAAAGAAAGTCTGTAAAAACGAGATTATTCACTATTCTTTTTTATATTCTTAAATATCTCAATTTCTATAGTAATAAAAGTTGATCTGAGACTTATCTTTGCATAAAGTAGGGTATCTTTTTCAGTTTTAGTCATTTATTTATTTACTTCTTTTTTCAGGCACTTGACCATTGAGAATTCTTCTGGAAAAACAGAGCCAACAGAAGTTAGGCCCTTCGAAAGAATGTCTACCCGGAAGTTTAACAAACACTTGGTGTCCAATCCATCAGGCCTAACGTTGACAACCGGGATTCCGCTCCAAGCAAATGTGGTCATAAAGGTTAATCATTGAATGCATTGGCGTTTTGTCCCTCACAGAAGTCGAAACTACCGATGGCACTTGATTAGGAGAACGGCTGTAGCCAACCCTCTTACTCTTTCTTGTATATATCTTTTTTCTTCTCTTTCCTTTTCTATTTCATTACTTTTGCCATTTTGTCAACCCCACCCTCTCTCTCTCTCTCTCTCTCTCTCTCTAACTTCTTGATATTTCTCCCTCTCCCTTCCCTCTCAATTTCACATTTCCGTTTTTATCACTCTCTGTTTGCTCGTTTTGAAAACTGGTATCAAATTTACAGACCTAAAGCTAAATATAGAATTTTTTGAGATTTTTTTAAATATATTTCACTAGAACACTAGTAGGGCGGGGGCGGGTCTAGAGAGTAAACTGACTGACAAATTTTGGTGGTTGGAAGTCATTATAGTAACTCTCTTAATATACAATGGAAAGTAAATGGGAAAAAAGAGAGAAAAACATGAAAATTAAAAAATTAACAAAATAGAAACGGTGATACATGCCTACAAGCAATTAGGTTTTTTATGTTCTAATATCTATGAATTAAATATTACATAAATAAAAATTCCTGTACAATGAATTTCATACGCACGTGTTCATATATTCATAAGGTGAACATACAATACAGATTCATACAAGTCTACATCCTAAAAGTAATCCCGAAGATAATCTTTCGTAGAAAATCAACATTTATTTACCAAGTCATGACTTTTCACTGATAATAAGGAAAAGGAAATCGGAGAGAGTCATGATTGCCTACATCCGCAAAGGACATGACATTAAAAAAAATAAGTCAGTTAAGTACCACACACATAAGTGATCATGTATCTTTCGATCCATGACTGATGAGGCAAAAGATTTTTTGCGCAGTAGGGTGCCATTTCTTTCTGCAGTAAACTGTTTGCCAACCAAAGATAAAGAACCCAGTCTTTCCTGCTATTTAACCCATATCTGGGGATTCATACCTTTACCAAGTGTATTTGTGTGTAAGTGAATATAACAAACTCGACTGGAATTCGAACTCGTATCTCCGAGTTCTCATTCTGAGCCGATATCCATTACACCACAGCGTTCAAGAAAAACCTATATTTAATAAATAAGAATTATTAATTGAATTTATTGATGTTTCGATGTTTATTAGCTTTATTTCAAAATATTTATCCGTGAATTTTACATTAAATTTATTAAATGTAAAAAATTCTCCTTTTATTTTTTCTTAATAAACAAAAAGATAAAGCAGTGTTTCATATCCAGACCCAGGACCTTCTTACTCCTGTTAGAGGAGCCCTTCCCTGGTTGCCCTCTACCACTTCCTATCTCTGGCTATACTGTGCCATTAAAGCCGAGGTATCGGGTCAAATCGTTGTCATCTTGTCTTGATATGCCCTCTATTTCATTTTCACTGCCTTGGTGTCCATTCTGTCGTTTATCTACCTGTTCCTGTTGTCTAAGAGACGAGACACCTATGTTTTCCCTTCTTGATGATCTCAATTATAGCCTTCACACTACTCTGTTGCCGAAACAAGGTGTTGCACTTCCTGTCACGTAAGGTGATGCTGAGCCTGATTTGCTCCATTTTACACTTGGCTACTACAAGACTCTCTACACTGCTAACGCTGATCACTTCGTTACCAGCAGAACATAATCATTAAACAAATTTCTCGTGATGCTATAAACCTTTCTAAAATAGTGTTTTATAACTCTCTTTTATTTATTTATTTTTTAAATTGCTTGAATTTTGAAGAGTCTTTCCAAAGCAAGTGTTGATTTACGTTTGTCCCAAAGACATGAGAGAGAAATTGACATAATTGGACACAGATGCAATACAAATTCAGCTTGCAGATTATGATTTCCATATAGTTAGCCATTGTAAAAGTATTCATACAGCGTTGTCTATAAATTGGAAAAGTAATTAAAATTCCAAGGGAAATTTTGATTCATGCCTGTCCCAGTGACATTAGTAAGAATTTAACATAAATGGTCTTGGAATACAAATTCAGATTCCGTTTTCCGTTATTCTATTCTGCACATAGATAGATAGATAGATAGATAGATAGATAGATAGATAGATAGATAGATAGATAGAACTGCAAAAAAAAGAGGATAGTTACAAGGATCAGACGCTTCGCCTGAATTCTTAAAAAGTGAATACAGAAAAGGTTTTTCAACAAGAGATCTTATAGAGAACAGGTGCTAATTCAGGATACCATCAAGTTTACGTGATTTGTGGGGATCAAGGTTAGAGATGATAGCAGAAACTATAAACGGACATATGCGTATCACTGCAAAGACACTCAGTTCTAAGTGGAAAGTCAAAGATACTCTAGATGAGTCAAGAGTATAATTTGAAGAGAATACACGAGCCAAACATTCTGGTTTATCAATAGAAAAGGTTAAAAACTCAGATTGAGTAAAGAGAGGATGGATAGAAGACTTACTCTTATTTACCAGACTATTACAGAGCCGCCAGTAGACACAAGAATCAAACGATGCTTCATTCTATCAGCAAAGACTAGCCTCTTTGAGGTCAAGTTTACAATTGCTATGAGCAAACACAAAGAGCCATCTATTCTCTTCCGAACTATCACACTGTTACAGACGGAAAAGTGATCCCTTATTGGCTGAACAAGCTGGTGTTAACCAAGAAGATTGTGATTTCACCTGGTTTTTAGAGAAGGCGTAAAAGTATCGATGCCAGCTTTATCACAAGAAGAGACGTCTGTGGTACAATTCTCAATAGGAAAGTTAAGGGTATCAATCCAGTGGGCGAAAGTCACGAAAATCAATCGCAATCAGTACGCTGGAAAAAAAGTAGTCTTGTGTATAGGAGGTTTTGTTTATTTATTACAATGATGTTCACTCTGTATAAGGCCCAAGAGTTACACAAGGTAGAGTATTGCTGAGTAAAAGACTGAGTTTATGGGAATATGTGGGAAAGATTACGACTGACACTAGACTTGAACACATTAAGATTGTAGTGATCGGGGAAACATCCTCCATACAAAGCAGAAGGGACACCCGTTCATCGTGAACAGTAAAAGTTCTGGGTCAGCTCCGTTATGAAGGAAAGTCACTAGTTTGTTTTTCGAAACATTGATTGTTACCAGCCAGTTTTTTTCCCCACTGAGCTGTTAAGACCAAATCAAAGAAGAGACCAACTGCCAAACTCTGGTCATCTAGAGTATCGAAGATGTACCCATATCCTGTCTAATAAAAGAATGTCAAGAGATATTACAGCGTGATCCGAATTGCAATGAAAAAAAATTGTGATGCTCGACAAGAGCTAGGAGAGGAGGCAAAGAAGAAATCAAGTAAGGAAGAATGTTGATCAGATTTATGAGGGAAACGAGACTCTGAGCAACGGAAACATTCAAAGTCTGATTAAGGACAACATAAGAAACAGAAGGGTGTTGTGCAAGCTGATGTAATGGTGCCTTTTGCATTCGGGTAATTTTTTTTTTAAGCATTTCACCCCAAGCAAGGCGTGAAGCCACTAGGATGCAGGGGTTGCGGAAGATTTGGAGCGAGAGCAGATAGGAGTGATAGAAGAAAGGATGAGGAGAAGGATAGTGGATAGATCAAGGTAACTGGAGGTGTCGATTAACATTACATTTGAATAGTTGAAGATTATAGCTCTCAGGGAAACAGTAATTGGGAAGGGTGTTCCACAGGCGAGAGGTGCGAGGTATGAAGCTATTGGAGTAGAAGAGACGGCTACATTTAAAAGTTTCTATAGTGAAAGGGTGGGAGCGGGATGCCAGCCTCGTAGGGCGCTTGAATTCATGGAGTCTGGGAACCAGTGAAAGCAGCTCATCGGAGCAACTACCATGAAAGTATTTGTAGAAAAGACAGAGGCGACGGCGCGTCTGTGAGAGAGTGACTGCAGACGAGACGCCAGATCAGGGCCAATTAGATTACATATCCGTCTCTGGATCTTGTCAAGAACTCCGAGGTAGACAGAAGGTGCCCCAGACCATATATGGCAGCAATACTCCATGCAAGGGCGAATGGTTGATTTGTATATTTGAAGTATCGATTCAGGGGAGAAAAATTTCCTGGCGCGGCACAGAGAGCCAACTTTCCTCGCGGTGGAAGAAGCAATAGACTCAATGTATTTGTTCCATCTCAGGTCAGCAGTCAGCGTGAGACTGAGCAGACGCAGGGAGTTGCTCTCCGGAAGTTGACTATCAGACATTTTAATGGGGGGCAGGGAAGGATCTCTATGGTGGTTAATGGAGAGTAGTTTAGTTTTTGAGGCGTTAAAGTTGACCAGCCAATTCTTGCCCCAGTTAACAACCGATTGGAGGTCCATTTCAAGACGCACAGCCAGGTTAGTTTTGTCGCCGACACTAGATTTGTTTTTGATGCAGGAGTAAATTGTAGTGTTGTCCGCGGAGATGCCAACTTGGGAATCTATGGCGTCAGGAAGGTCATTGATGAAAATAAGGAAAGGAGTGGGGCCAAGGATGGAGCCTTGGGGAACACCTGCGTTCGTGGTATAGGAACTGGAGGAGAATCCGTTGAGAACGACCTTCAATTCTCGGTTTGATAGGAATGATTGTATTAGATCAAACAGTCGACCAGTAATATCATAACTCTGGAGCTTACGAAGAAGGCCGGCATGCCAAACCCTATCAAACGCTTTGGAGATGTCTAGGGCCACGGCACGAGCTTCACCGTTTTTTTGAAGGGCTTGGTAGACGGTTTCAGTGATGGCCGTAAGCACATCAGCTGTAGATCGGGCGTAGCGGAAACCATATTGCTTGTCTGAGAGCAGATCATGGGATGTAAGGTAGTTAACTACTTTGGCATTGATTAGGGCTTCGAAGACTTTGCCGAAGAGGGGTAGGAAACTAATAGGACGGTAATTAGAGGGGTCAGATCGGTTCTTAAAGGCAGGAACAATGGATGAGGACTTCCAGCAGTCAGGAAAACAGGATTCCTTGAGGCAGTAATTATACAGTTTAGAGAGGGCGGGCGCTAGCTCAGGCGCACATTTCTTCAAGACAATGGTTGGTATGCCATCTCCACCACTAGCATTGAAGGGTCTAAATTGGAGATAATGCCCAGTACCAATGATTTCTTTTTATGTGTAACCCGCTCAATAGGGCCTCAGTTCTTGGAGGGAAGTCTGGTATGGGTACACCGGTGGAGTCGAGCGTTGAATTAAATGAGAATTTCCGAGCAAAGCATTCAGCCTTGTCGGTAGAGGAGGTCAAGACCTCGAACTGGTTGAATAAAGGAGGTATGGAGGGTTTTCAATTGTTCATGACGCTCTTGCAGACCCGCCAATAAATCTTTGGAGCCAAATTTGCGAGATGCAATACGCCCCTTCATCCGAGCAGCAAATATTGACTTAGCTTCGTTGAGGACACGCTTACACTCTTTACGGGCGGAGGCAAAGAGACGTCTATTGCAGTCCGACATGTCGCTACGAAATAGGTGAAAGAAGTTAAATTCCTATGGGCAATGGCAGCTGAGCAAGCAGCGGAAAACCAAGGGGAGGATGCGACTTGACCTTAAATTTCCTTGAGGGGATGAAAGCGTCGATTCCAGCTTTAACCCAGGATGAGACCTCAGAAGCACATTTTAGGCAGGGAATGTAAAGACAACATCCCAGGGGACATCGCGGAGGAAGTCACGGAAAAGCCCCAATCCGCTCGTTGATATTAGAACGAGGTTCTAGTGATGGGAGGTTCTTTGCGGGGTGTGGAGTTGAAGGAAATGTTGACAGATACCACGGCATGATCGGAGTTACCAAGAGGGCAGATTTATGTGGCGCTACAAGATTCGGGGATGGAGGTAAAACACAGATCGAAAGGGAGGCCTTACCTGCCAGGTTGGGGGCAAAAATTTTTGAAATATAAAAATGGAAATTCAACTATCTGCGTGAGGGATTAAGAAATTGAGAAGTTAAGTGTTTGAATGCCAGCCCGGTCAGTAGTAGCATTCAGTCTATGGATCCAGACTGTCAGAAGAGTATTGTGTAAGCTGGTGGTGAATCTCTAATGATGTGTATTACATTCAGATAGATGATCCAATTTGTATATACATGAAAATGCATGAATGTAATGGATCCTGATTATCAAAAGATTATTGTGTAAACTGGCAGTGAATCTCTAATTGTGTGTATTGCATTCAGATAGATGATCCAGTTTGTATATACAGGAGACTGCATACATCTAATGGATCCTGATTATCAAAAGGTTATTGTGCAAGTTTGTTTCCATTTCCATTTTTTTTTTTTCAAAGAAACCATATTTCAGATAGATTTTTTCCAGTTTGCAAATATATGTTTAAAGAAATCTACATAATTATATAGATAAAGACATCTGTGGAAGGTAAAATGATACAAACTACTGATGAATCTGTAATGGTATTGCATGTATTCAATTTGAATTAGCAAGGACCACTAATGGAAACTTTACCACATGTTGACAAGTTTGAAAACACTATGAAAGTTTGAAATAGGCCCAAGCCTTGATACGGACCATTAAAAGCATTTTTATGCAATAAATTTTAAATTTTTTTACAGCAAGGCCACAAAAACATATCCCAACAATAATTTTTGAATTGAAACTGGTTCCTAGAATAGTAATCTCACTTGAACGTGCTCCATTCCTCCCATGTTTGCCAGATTTAATCCCCATTATGCATATATGGGTTATGTTGTAGAACATATATAAATATTTGCAGAAAAAATATAACAAACAATTTTGAGAAGTTAAAAATGTTGGTTATATTCTCCTTTTACGGTCGAATGAAAAAAATTTGAAACAAATAAAAATTTTCTACAGTCCATACAACATCAGGACGGAATTCAAAATGGGATCAACGTGATGAGTTATAATTCTAGTTGTTATGCGCGTTTTTGCACAAATAACCTTCAAATAACAAAATCTTCTACCGCCCCAACCTATGGTTAAATAACAGGACTGACTGTTCTCTCTTGTTTTAAGATGAGTGTGAAACATGGTGGGCTCTGTCTCTGTCAAACTATCTTACCCTAGAATCACCAGTTCTGCTACGGTAGCAGTACATGTAGTGACCCTATCACACTAATGTATTACAAGATTTGTAGCATGACTTGACATAACCAAGATCTTTTAAATGTTTGCTTGTATGATAAACATGCGGAGGTATATTTTAAAAGTTTTCATAAATTTTATTTTCTATCCAGGAAGGCATAAAACGTTTCAAAGTACGTAACATATCTTTAAAATTTTATCCGAAGATGCAATGGGATAGCGAGAAATGTCTTCCAAAAATTAAGCAAAGTATTAATTTAAAAAAAATCATTAGAAACGATATTTTTATGGACTATATTATAATATCAATCCTCCTTTTTATATATGGTCAAGCGAATTAACTGGACAATTACTTCCTCATAAATGAAGTTAAAGAAACTTGAAGAAAGAGAAAGAAAGAAAAGAATACTGAACTGTTATGTAATATCATTCCTCCTTATATTGACAGTCATTGATCTATGGACAATCTTCTCACAGATGTAAAAGACTTGAAGCAAGAGAAACAAGAAAAAAAAGTACTGAACTTTGAAGGGTAATTTATAATCCTCCTATATGGAATTTGAATGCTGGACAATCTCCTCACAGGTGTAGAAGAGACTTATTCAAGAGAAACAAAAGAAAGGATTACTGAACTGTTATATAATATCAGTCCTCCAATATATTCTTGAAAGAAAGTGCTGAACAATATATTTACAAACGAAGAAGAAATTTCAATAAAAATGAACTTACATCAAGTTTAGAAGAATACCAGATTTTATTATGGATGGAGCACGTGAGCAACGAGTAAATTTTAAGGAAAATGGAAACAAAAGGGTTTCTTATAATTAAATCAGGAAAGATTTTGAACCTTTTTAAAAATATTTATAATGGGAAATCTTGGATTTTATTTTTTGATACTCACTGGAAATATTGAAGGCAAGAAGGACAGAAAAAAACAACACCTAACCTAACGAGCTTGAATAAATGGTTGGCGGAAAATGGTTTAGGAGACAAAAGACAAAATTTATTAAGCTTTTTCAAAAGACAGGAAATTTTTGAGCCATGATTGCTTATGTCCTGAAGGCATCTTGAATGTACATAGAAGAAAAAAAATGAGCTTGTGTAAATGGATGATGGAACACTATTCAGAGAAGTAGTTCAAAAACAAAAATTTATTAAATTTTTTTTTTTAAAGGACACGACATTGTGGAGAGCACTTGCATGGGTTTACGTCTTGAAGGCAAAACATTGTACATAGAGAAAAAAAAAAAGAATGAGCTTGTGTAAATGGATGATGGAACAAGGTTTAGGAGAGATAAAAAAAAGACAAAATTTATTAAGAGCTATAAAAGGACAGGAAATTGTGGAGAGCCATGATCGCTTTATGTCATGAAGGCATACGGTACATAGAAAAGAAAAGAATGAGCTTGTTTAAATGGATGATGGAACAAGGTTTAGGAGTTTTAAGAAAAAAGACAAAATTTATTAAGAGCTACAAAGGACAGGAAATTGTGGAGAGCCATGGATTGCTTACGTTCTGAAGGCATACGGTACATAGAAGAAGAAGAATGAGCTCGTGTAAATGGATGATGGAACAAGGTTTAGGGAGAGATAAGAAAAAGACAAAATTTATTAAGAGCTACAAAGGATAGGAAATTGTGGAGAGCCATGATCGCTTATGTCCTGAAGGCATACGGTATATAGAAAAAGAATGAGTTTGTGTAAATGGATGATGGAACAAGGTTTAGAGAGACAAAGAAAAACAAAAAATTTATTAAGAGATACAAAAGACAGGAAATTGTGGAGAGACATGATGTCTTACGTTCTGAAGGCATACGGTACATAGAAGAAGAAGAATGAGCTCGTGTAAATGGATGATGGAACAAGGTTTAGGAGAGATAAGAAAAAGACAAAATTTATTAAGAGATACAAAAGACAGGAAATTGTGGAGAGCCATGATCGCTTACGTTCTGAAGGCATACGGTACATAGAAGAAAAAGAAGAATGAGCTCGTGTAAATGGATGATGGAACAAGGTTTAGGAGAGATAAGAAAAAGACAAAATTTATTAAGAGCTACAAAGGACAGGAAATTGTGGAGAGCCATGATCGCTTATGTCCTGAAGGCATACGGTACATAGAAGAAAAAGAATGAGCTTGTGTAAATGGATGATGGAACAAGGTTTAGGAGAGATAAGAAAAAGACAAAATTTATCAAGAGCTACAAAGGACAGAACATTGTGGAGAACCATGAACACCAGTATCCCGAAGACCCACGTCGTCACTTTGGATAATAATAATAATAATAATAATAATAATAATGTGGTTGTGCAAATGAATGGCTTTAGGATAGATAACAAAAAGAAAAAAAGTATTAAGCGCTACAAAGTACAGGGAATTGTGGAGAGCCATGTTCGCCAAGAAGCACATAAAGAAAAAAAGGTTTTATATTTTTTACTAAATATTTATTATTCCCTCTAGGTAAAAGCAAAAAAGAGAATTTTTTTATTTCTGTACAAGGTAAAGACTTTTCAAAGAAAATGTAGATTAGATAAGAGAAACATCAATACATGTATGTATCTTAGTACACACACACACACACACACACACACACACACATATATATATATATATATATATATATATGCATATATATGCATATATGCATATATATGCACGCATTCATGAATGCATAAGTCATGCGCTGTGTATGTAAGCGTGTATATATGCATGTACTTAGGGATCTATGCATGCTTGCTTACTCTTTCCGGTAAAACAACAGTTACTCATTCTGACGACGACTAACACGATTTTGCTACTTAATCCGCTCTCTTCGCCGGTTAATGTACGCAAAGGGCTTTTAATGTGTTTGCGCACATTAAAATGGTTGGAAGAGGGGCAAAGATTACTCACTCGGCAAAGTCGTCGGCGAAAAGAAGCGAACGAAAGAGGCGGGGTCGGGTAACCATCTGTAACTCCTAACACGTTTTTTATGCATCTCATCCTGGCGACGTATCAACCTCCACCGACTCGATCCAATATCACGGCCAGGAGTGTGCACAAGGATACTCTTGGGAATGGGTGTAGATAAATTTGAAGTAGAGAGTGGGTTGGTCGACCTGTAGAAATGATGTAAAGATCACGAGAACTTCAATCTCGATTTCTTAGCAAATCAAAGATAGTGTGTGTCAGACTTTATAAAAGTAGACTTAATGTTTATGTTCAGAGTGTACTTGGAGTACTTGTAATTTATAGTTATAGAGGGTATCGGTTAGTGTATGATACATTTTAACTTCTCAGTGTTGCTTAATTATAATATATTTTTAAATATCCACTTGCCAATAATCAGGTTTTAAGATACTACAATGAAGACATTCTAGTAGTAATTTCCTTGGTTTTCTGAAAATTTTCTTTTTCATTATTTTTAATTGTAAAATAGGCGTGAAATATATTTAAGAAAAAGTGGATATGACATGAAAACATGCACACACATGCATTCACACACGCACATACACACATGTAAGTATACGCACATGCATACATGTGCACATGTACGCATACAAACATGCATATACACGCATACACTTATCTTGTTTTTGTTCTCATACATACAAAAAAAACTTCTTTTAACTGGAAAGTTTAAATGATTTAATCAGGCTTGTCGCCTGTGTTTTGAAGAGGTGTGGTCTTTATGACAGGTTTACTACGAATAAGCGTATTCGAGTCCTTCTTGGGGAAGAATCATTTTCCACCCTCCAACCTCTCTCTTACAGGCGTGATGTGACAAGCCTCTCACTGCTCTAATGTTACTGCCATGGAAAGTGCTTGGACGACGTGCATCTCCTGATTCCACCAGGTCTGACATTCACGGCTAGGACCCCCCTATGCCACTTACATAGTATCAAATCACCCACATTCCGTCCGTATTCCATTGGCGAGAAGTAAGTCCACTCGAATAGCGTCTTCCCGCAAACTACTGCCCAGGGGAACAGACTCCCAAGTGGATGTTTCCCCAATCCCTCCAATCTTAATCTGTTCAAGTCTAGAGTTAAGCGTTATCTTCCCCTCCTATCCATATAAACTACCCATTGGTGAGAAGTAATTTCCTTTTTTCTTTTTTCCCACGAACCACTGTCAGGGAACAGACTTCAAGAGGATGTTTCCCCAATCACTACAATCTTAATCTGTTCAAGTCTAGAGTTAACCGTTATCTTCCCCTCCTATCCATATAAACTACCCATTGGTGAGAAGTAAGTTCCACTGAACAGCTTCTTTTTGGAACCACTGCCCAGGGGAACAGACTCCCCAAGAGGATGTTTCCCAATCACTACAATCTTAACCTGTTCAAGTCTAGAGTTAACCATTATCTTCCCCTCCTATCCATATAAACTACCCATTGGTGAGAAGTAAGTTCCCCTGAACAGCTTCTTCCACGAACCACTGCCCAGGGGAACAGACTCCCAGAGGATGTTTCCCCAATCATACAATCTTAACCTGTTCAAGTCTAGAGTTAACCGTTATCTCATTTCCTATCCATATAAACTACCCATTGGTGAGATCTTTTTTGAACAGAACTTCCTGCGAACCACTGCCCAGGGGAACAGACTCCCAAGAGGATGTTTAAACTACCCCCAATCACTACAATCTTAACCTGTTCAAGTCTAGAGTTAACCGTTATCTTCCCCTCCTATCCATATAAACTATTCAAACTCCCTTTAAGTTCCACTTGAACAGCTTCTTCCCACGAACCACTGTCCAGGGAGACAGACTCCCAAGAGAGGATGTTTCCCCAATCAACAATCTTAACCTGTTCAAGTCTAGAGTTAACCGTTATCTTCCCCACCTATCCATATAAACTACCCATTGGTGAGAAGTAAGTTCCACTCGAACAGCTTCTTCCCAAAAAACCACTGCCCAGGAGAACAGACTCCCAAGAGGATGTTGCCCCAATCACTACAATCTTAACCTGTTCAAGTCTAGAGTTAACCATTATCTTCCCCTCCTATCCATATAAACTACCCATTGGTGAGAAGTAAGTTCCACTCGAACAGCTTCTTCCCACGAACCACTGCCCAGGGGAACAGACTCCCAAGAGGATGTTTCCCCAATCACTACAATCTTAACCTGTTCAAGTCTAGAGTTAACCGTTATCTTCCCCACCTATCCATATAAACTACCCATTGGTGAGAAGTAAGTTCCACTTGAACAGCTTCTTCCCGCAAACCACTGCCCAGGGGAACAGACTCCCAAGAGGATGTTTCCCCAATCACTACAATCTTAACCTGTTCAAGTCTAGAGTTAACCATTATCTTCCCCTCCTATCCATATAAACTACCCATTGGTGAGAAGTAAGTTCCACTCGAACAGCTTCTTCCCACGAACCACTGTCCAGGGGAACAGACTCCCAAGAGGATGTTTCCCCAATCACTGCAATCTTAACCTGTTCAAGTCTAGAGTTAACCGTTATCTTCCCCACCTATCCATATAAACTACCCATTGGTGAGAAGTAAGTTCCACTCGAACAGCTTCTTCCCGCGAACCACTGCCCAGGGGAACAGACTCCCAAGAGGATGTTTCCCCAATCACTACAATCTTAACCTGTTCAAGTCTAGAGTTAACCGTTATCTTCCCCTCCTATCCATATAAACTACCCATTGGTGAGAAGTAAGTTCCACTCGAACAGCTTCTTCCCACGAACCACTGCCCAGGGAACAGACTCCCAAGAGGATGTTTCCCCAATCACTACAATCTTAACCTGTTCAAGTCTAGAGTTAACCGTTATCTTCCCCACCTATCCATATAAACTACCCATTGGTGAGAAGTAAGTTCCACTCGAACAGCTTCTTCCCCGCGAACCACTGCCCAGGGGGAACAGACTCCCAAGAGGATGTTTCCCCAATCACTACAATCTTAACCTGTTCAAGTCTAGAGTTAACCGTTATCTTCCCACCTATCCATATAAACTACCCATTGGTGAGAAGTAAGTTCCACTCGAACAGCTTCTTCCCGCGAACCACTGCCCAGGGGGAACAGACTCCCAAGAGGATGTTTCCCCCAATCACTGCAATCTTAACCTGTTCAAGTCTAGAGTTAACCGTTATCTTCCCCACCTATCCATATAAACTACCCATTGGTGAGAAGTAAGTTCCACTCGAACAGCTTCTTCCCACGAACCACTGTCCAGGGGAACAGACTCCCAAGAGGATGTTTCCCCAATCACTGCAATCTTAACCTGTTCAAGTCTAGAGTTAACCGTTATCTTCCCCACCTATCCATATAAACTACCCATTGGTGAGAAGTAAGTTCCACTCGAACAGCTTCTTCCCACTGAACCACTGCCCAGGGAACAGACTCCCAAGAGGATGTTTCCCCAATCACTACAATCTTAACCTGTTCAAGTCTAGAGTTAACCATTATCTTCCCTAACCTATCCATATAAACTACCCATTGGTGAGAAGTAAGTTCCACTTGAACAGCTTCTTCCCACGAACCACTGCCCAGGGGAACAGACTCCCAAGAGGATGTTTCCCCAATCACTACAATCTTAACCTGTTCAAGTCTAGAGTTAACCGTTATCTTCCCACCTATCCATATAAACTACCCATTGGTGAGAAGTAAGTTCCACTTGAACAGCTTCTTCCCACGAACCACTGCCCAGGGGAACAGACTCCCAAGAGGATGTTTCCCCAATCACTACAATCTTAACCTGTTCAAGTCTAGAGTTAACCGTTATCTTCCCCACCTATCAATTTAATCTACCCATTGGTGAGAAGTAAGTTCCACTCGAACAGCTTCTTCCCGCGAACCACTGCCCAGGGGAACAGACTCCCAAGAGGATGTTTCCCCAATCACTACAATCTTAACCTGTTCAAGTCTAGAGTTAACCGTTATCTTCCCCACCTATCCATATAAACTACCCATTGGTGAGAAGTAAGTTCCACTTGAACAGCTTCTTCCCACGAACCACTGCCCAGGGGAACAGACTCCCAAGAGGATGTTTCCCCAATCACTATCAATCTTAACCTGTTCAAGTCTAGAGTTAACCGTTATCTTCCCGACCTATCCATATAAACTACCCATTGGTGAGAAGTAAGTTAATCCTCTAAGCTTCTTCCCACGAACCACTGCCATTGGGAACAGACTCCCAAGAGGATGTTTCCCCCAATCTTAATCACCTGTTCTTAACCTGTTCAAGTCTAGAGTTAACCGTTATCTTCCCCCTCCTATCCATATAAACTACCCATTGGTGAGAAGTAAGTTCCACTCGAACAGCTTCTTCCCGCGAACCACTGCCCAGGAGAACAGACTCCCAAGAGGATGTTTCCCCAATCACTACAATCTTAACCTGTTCAAGTCTAGAGTTAACCGTTATCTTCCCCTCCTATCCATATAAACTACCCATTGGTGAGAAGTAAGTTCCACTTGAACAGCTTCTTCCCGCGAACCACTGCCCAGGGGAACAGACTCCCAAGAGGATGTTTCCCCAATCACTACAATCTTAACCTGTTCAAGTCTAGAGTTAACCGTTATCTTCCCCTCCTATCCATATAAACTACCCATTGGTGAGAAGTAAGTTCCACTTGAACAGCTTCTTCCCGCGAACCACTGCCCAGGGGAACAGACTCCCAAGAGGATGTTTCCCCAATCACTACAATCTTAACCTGTTCAAGTCTAGAGTTAACCGTTATCTTCCCCACCTATCCATATAAACTACCCATTGGTGAGAAGTAAGTTCCACTCGAACAGCTTCTTCCCACGAACCACTGCCCAGGGGAACAGACTCCCAAGAGGATGTTTCCCCAATCACTACAATCTTAACCTGTTCAAGTCTAGAGTTAACCGTTATCTTCCCCACCTATCCATATAAACTACCCATTGGTGAGAAGTAAGTTCCACTCGAACAGCTTCTTCCCACGAACCACTGCCCAGGGGAACAGACTCCCAAGAGGATGTTTCCCCAATCACTACAATCTTAACCTGTTCAAGTCTAGAGTTAACCGTTATCTTCCCCTCCTATCCATATAAACTACCCATTGGTGAGAAGTAAGTTCCACTCGAACAGCTTCTTCCCACGAACCACTGCCCAGGGGAACAGACTCCCAAGAGGATGTTTCCCCAA